GAATATTTAGAAAATAATCAGTTCTCTTCTTGTGACTCCTAGACTGGACCAAAAATTTACTTCTGCTTTTATCACTTTTGTATCATCACTACTCTATTTCTGGACGCCACGAAATAATGGTCATTAGCCGCATCCTTCCAAATGCAACGACAGTAAGCTAGCTCCAGGTTATTCAGTAACAACAGTGACATTATCAGCATTAGCACTGGATCACTACACGTATGCCTTTTTTAGGCCAAATAGGAACTGGAATACAAAAAGCGGCATCCGGAGTCTGGAATTCTGCAGGTATATCTCATTAGGGTCCGCTTTTCCACTTTTTTTCGATGCCTGCGGAAAAACCCTCATATCTCAAAATTTTCGAATTTTCCACTATCCAAAAAAAGAATTACCTCACTTTTTTACGTTTTTTAACAACTAAAAAAAAATTTTTGTCGCATTTTCCATTCTTTGAAAAAAAATTTCCCCAGAAATTCCTCCCTGCTTTCCACGTTTTCACATTTCATGGAAAAAAAAAATTCCTTTCTCTTTTTCACATTTCTGCTCTCACGGGAAAAATTTCTTTCTGCGCTTTGAACTAAAGTTTTTGTTTGGCTTCAAACAAAAAGATAGTTTTTCCTCCTGAAAATCTCAGAAACAAATTTGTAGGCGATGCAGCTAGTGCAGTTGGACAAGGAGTTGGGGAGGCCGCAACGGGCGTTTGGCACGCTGGGGGTACCAATTTTCATTTTTGTCGTTTGACCGAATTTTTCACATATTGGCGTATCCAGCCCCAAATTGAGCGCATGCAGTCTAAATTTACTTTTTCATCACAGACTGGGGTACGCTGCTCATATTCACCAAATTATTCTTTTTTTGTCTGACAAAGCTCCGACCCGTGTACCGCGATAGAGGGTGCATCTTAGTTCTGATACTCTTTTTCAGTCAACTTAGTGGTACTCCGGTTTAGCACCACTGAACTCATTTTTTCCAAAAGTTCGAAGCGATTCGGTCTTCGAACTAATTTTAACTCTCCTTTCTGGATCTGTACCTCATATACCGGGCTTGACCCCCGTCTAATCCAATTTGTATCGATTCTCCATAGCGTCCAAGTTGAATTTCCTCTCTTCTGGATACGCCAGCGTTTTTTCTTTTTGTTAACAGACTAATTACCTGCGTGAATCTTTTTACTACCACTAATAATAACAGTGTAACGGGCCACTCTGACTACCTACCGTATTCTAATTTCATTCCACCCTTCCTCATCTGCAGACTTTCGGTGCGAAATGCAGCACTCATCTTCCTAAGAAATTTTTTCGCAGGATCTGATGTGAGACGGCTTTTGGGGTCAAGGTTCCAACTATTTTGCCTATTCTTTTATCCAACTCCGCATGTCGCATTTTTTAGATCAAAACAACTAAAATTTTGTATAGAGAAATGTAGGATATCAATAAATCTGCGAAAAAGCCTTGGAAATTAGTTGAAAAATCTTTGTTTTCTAGTTTGCGTCTTTTATTATTCTTTTTTGAGTTTTTTACCGTTATAACTTATTTAACTATGGTCGACTGTCCTTTAACCTATGACTGGCTAACTGCTTGACACTTGCAGTGTTTTTGGATGCTAAGAACCTAGTGCTGTAGTGAAAGCTGAGTAAATTGTTGTAGGCAGAGCTGTCGATGCAGTTGGAAGCGGTGTGGTTGATGTTGCCGTAGGAATTAAAAATGTA